CGTTCACTTTCTCTTATTCGTCCAGAACCGGTAGCGATCCACTGGTGTCGGCTGGATGCGTTATCAACGGAATGTCGATTTCGTAAGCTAGTAATTGCGTGTCGTATATTCCGTCCACATCACGCTCGTCCCACCTCAAAAGTACCCTTGATCATGTAAATCGCAGTTTTCACAGCTTCGATCAACCGCCTAGCCAATCCATCCTTATGCACAGCATGCTAGGTGCCTACTTCATGTCAATCCGATAAATTAGCTCTGCAACTGAGGCGAAATCGTGTCCATTTCAAGCACAAAACGACTGCCAATAGTCCGCATACATGGTCTACGTCACACTAAAGTCCATGCTTTATTCGTGACAAACAACTCCAACTTGCCTTTACAGCCTCCCTGCTATTTCGCTTTGCGTGTGCGCAAGAATTCTTTTTTTCCGGCAAGTGTCTGCAATCATGCTGTTCACAAGTTTCGTTTCATTGTCGTAGCGCAGTCATTTTGCTGTTCTTCTCACTGATTCTCGTAGAATGCCTTGAAAATCATTCAGTTGCTCGCTACTTCAACCTATTCCTAAAGTGAAACCCACAGCTTTCCTCAGGTAGTTGTCTACAAAGATTAGAGATAATGTAGCTTTGATCACTTACGAAATGCGTCATTCTTACGATTAACCTCATCCGTGTGAAACATTTTCGAAATGCGCGATGTTTTCGCTCGTAAAATGAAGGTACTGTTAGATTCCTCTTCCTGAATTCATCTCACAAAGTACCAATAATTGTTGGTATTGTGGCTGTAACACATTGCATCTTGTCCATTCCGCTTCCACGGGGGGCGTGACAAAGCTCCCAATGATTGTTTGCTTCGGTATATTGCAAGAAACGTGTTTCTTTCGTAAACACCTCAGAATAAAGGCCTTTTCGACAATTGAATTCACCGCAACTGCGGTTGTCTTGCTCCGATAAAACACAATCTACATTCAACCTCCTCATTCATGCCACGATGCTTAGCCTCCTTATCGATCGATATCTTACATCAGTCCAGACCGGAAATATTCACCACTTGATCAGCAACCCAACCGTTCGACCTTCGCCAACCGCCAGAACCACATCGCCTTCGCGCTTTTTGTTTCAGCTTATCCGGTCATGTCAACCTTCAGTTGGTTTTGACCCGGGCCGATCAATCTTGCTTCATAAGCCCTAACTTGTTCTTGTTGCATTCAAACCATTTGCCCAGGAAATCACCACGATGTTTTGTTAGTTTTGCCGTTTCGACCTCTTTTAACCACCTTTAGCGCGCTCCGAAATCATCTCCAAGTCACTCGCACTGAGGTAGATTTTCTTCATCTCTTCAGCGACACATCCATCGCGTTGTGATAATCGACCCATTGAACTCGCAATCTGTCGGCAGAATGCTCAGTAGCACCATGAGCTGCTTGCCTCGACCAATTTTCCAAGGGTCTGCTGAACCCACGACTAGCTCGCCAAAGCTGTCTAGATGCTTAGTCTTTTTACCCTTATATCGCGTCACTGTAACACGGAATGCAAGATTGTTTGGTTGTCCGGTTGTGTCGCATCCATGCGGTTTATGCTTGATCACAGATCGCAGCGTTACAATAGCCTGGGTCGCAGAACGTATTTTGTCTGGCGCTAAAGATCAAACCCTTAAGCTATAAGTACTGAGTAAGCGCTGAGTACTTTAACGGAATTCACCAGCCACTCCCCCCTGACCTCATTCTCAGCCTCGGCTGCCTCTCGTCATGAGCATGTTGGACTTTCAGTGGAAGTAGTCCGCAAAACACAAGAGGACATTTCTCGGTCAAAATGGAAATTTGTGCTTTGGTCTTGCGGTCTGGGTCGTTGAACTTGGTTTGACTCTCGAATTTTAGGTGGTTAGAGTCGAAATGAAGTGATTAACACGTCTCTTTAAATATCATCGTGATGGTGTCCTCCTTGGACTCGTGCCGATCTACCAATTCACAAAACTATCAATCTGAATGAAGGTATCAGCTGTGGCTGGAATGTGCATGCCAAATCTAGTACAAACTCATCGTCTAATGTTGAGATAATATGTGATGGCAAGTATCTGTATTCTTGACTCATGAGAACGTAATCAATACTTTATTGTCAATTTAGCAACCAGTAACTTGCTTCCAAATGCTAGCACAACCATAAGAAGTCACAAAACACGCAAGATGAGTTGATACGTCATCCCTCACTTCTCATGTTTGAATCGTCGCACCACAACTTTTCTAGCATCTTTCATCGACACTCGATCAATTACAGTGAAGTTACCATGCTGACGACATAATTTGTGATGTAATTATTGGTTGAACGTTAAAAATTCTGACGTGTATTTTTCTTAAGCTATACCAGCAAACTTATTGAAAGTTGGCTGTTTGGCTTGACGCTGGAGTTATGTGATCGATGGGAACGTCCAAATTTTCTAGCAGGTTCATAAACGGATGAAAGATCAAGACAAAGTGTCGAGAAAATAAGTTCTGCAGTCATTCTTACCTCGTGAAGCGGATAATTGGCAGCCGATAGCATAACAACACTTATCTTGAACCGACATGTTACCATCATTAACACTATGAGAAAGGTGGCAACTCCTGTTTAGTCTCTAGAGATATCAATCGTCGCATGAAATGCATCGTACTGTCGTGTAGTAATTTTTTCAAAAAAGAATCCGATATATCATTCATCTCCTTACTCAAAAAGTCAAATGAGGTGTTGAAGCTTTTGTCAAATGAGCTGTCGTCATATTTCATATTTCTGATGTGATAATCTACCACCAAAGCATATTTGAGGTACTGTGAAGCCATGTCATATCTTATTGTTAATGCCATGAATTTCGGCTCAGAAGACGTAGCAGCCGTATTATATACACTGACAAGGTGTCGAAAATATTCCTCAAGTTTGACTCCAGATTTCGCCAAAGTCGTAAGCATGGTTGTGGAAGAAAACATGGAGTTCAGCATATCGTTTGCTAGTTTTTTAAATTGCGGGGATTTCCATTGCGATCGCAACATCTTCATCAGCGATTCAAACGAGAGTTTGGAAGTCAAGAATATGAACAGCTCGGTGTTGGTAAATGTAGACTGTCTCCTGTACCAAACGACGTAATTGAGCATCCACAACAGCACAGGGCTGTCTGGATTATCTAAATCATGCAAATATTTGTTTATTTTGAGAAACACACGATCTGGGCGAACCTTTTTGCGTAAAAAATAATCCATAAGCCAAGTCCACCGTATGATATTTAAGTCGTCCAGCACGCCGTCAACTTGTTGTTTTAAGAAAGCCTCCTTCAACGCTTGTGATGGAATCATCTCATCCAGATAATCTATCGGTAAATATTTGCGAAGTGCCTTCAGAAAGTCAACGTAGCGCAATGGGCTTTTACTGTTTGTAAGTTTCCAGTACCACGTGAAGTACCCAAGCCACACCAAGAATAGTTGATCCGTAACTTTAATGACCGCAGGTTTGTGCGTAAAAAAAAAAATGTCGAGAATCGTTTCTGGGCTGTATCCTTTGTCTATCCATAGACCAAACACTAAATCCTTGTACGTGGAATCCAATACCATGGTTCGTTGTACATCCTCTGCGAATCTCTCGCAATTTGGGATGTTTGCAAGCTTTCCAAACAGATCCACCACCCCTCGTGGTTTAAATTTTTCCGCCAAAAAGGCTAGTAACTTCGTGTTATCATATTTCTCAATACTGTCATCCAAATTGGAGATAATCCAGTAGGCATTTACATGTTTTAACCATTCTATGGGGGTCATGTTCTCGTGATAGTAGTT